ACAGCAAGGTCACTGTGGTTTCTATGGAATAAACAAGAGGAAAGTAGCAGAGAGATGTTTAGGGAGATCCGGGGGGGTCCCAGTCCTATTCAACTCCCATATATCAAAATAAGAAACTGGGCTTTTCATCTGGGTGAGATGGAAGGCCCTTGTAAGTTGAAATATTCTACGACTTGTGATTTAACGAACCATCTGGCCACTGTGTTCTTTATAGACTGAAGCAAACTGCAACAAGAAAATCAAGGATGAAACAGGAAAACAATTTAGAATTCTGCTACAATAATCCAGGGAACAGAAGCCAAAGCAAGCAGTATTTTCTGATAGGTTAAGAGGAGAAAATAAAAAAAAGAAGTGTCAAGGGTGACTCCAATATTTCTACCAGGAGTAGCTGAAAGAATGGAATTGTCATTTATAAGAGTGACAAGTTCTGTGGGAAGAAAAGTTTGAGGGAAATATCAGGATCTCAGTTTTTACGAGGTTAGAAATGTCTACTGGACATCACATTAAAGACTAAAAAACAGTTATGAGTCATACATTCAGGGATAAGGTAGATGGAATTTTTCAGTTAAATATATTATTCTCAAATTATAAAAATTATAACATTGCAGAGACTTTTATATGGTGGGTTTACTCTTTTCTTCTAGCCTGGTAGATGGAGTAGTTTAATGACTGTTTCTTCCAAACTTTCTGTGATAGCATGGGACTATGTTATGAAATACATATCATATACATGTCTACAGCTGAACAGTTTCAGGACCCATATAATGTCTTTATATATCATTTACTTTAATCCAAGATACTTTACTATAAACTGCCACAACCTATTCTATGTCTATGAAAATATGTTATATTATTGGAAAAATTTCTCAGTAACTGAATCCGCTTTTAAATAGTAATTTTAATGGGTTTGAGGCTCAGTTTCACTATATATTTTGTTTCCCATTTCACCTAATAATGGATAATATTAACTTGAAATCTGACTACCAACATAACTTTTCCAAGTTGCCTTAATATGGCTCTACTCTTCTCGTGTTCACAGTTTTGTACCCAAAATTCCCATTACTTTTTCCTGGACACAGAGATTGATTCCAAGGTTGAATAAAAGCAAGAATTTTTGAAGTGGCTTTTAATCCTTTGGCTATTTCTCTTTTGATCTGAAAGCACTCAACTTTTGTATTTTAAGAGCTTATACTTAAAAACAGAGATGTAGAGAGGACAGATTTCAACAAAGAGTATCTTCTACCACAGATCCGGGGTAGCCTTTGTAAAACTGCCTATGAACACACAAAAATGTAATAACTAAAATGTTATCTTCTTCATAGTCTACAGTTCTCTAATTCTGGAGAAACGAACTGAAAACTAGGCAGGGGAAGAAGGTTGTGTCTATTTACGTACATACATGTTTGGTTGGTCAGAGGTGGTAAGAGAGGACTACGTGGCTAATGACACCAGCAGAAATAAATTTTGCTCTGGGGAATGTATATTCTACAGGAAAATTTCTGCCAATCAAAGAACTGGCAGAACAACGGCATGAAAAGCCACTAAAAGTGGCAGAGTACATGCTAGGGATCTAAGGTGATCACATATTCAATAGGTTGTTACGTGAATGTATCATTTATTAAAGAAAAGATGAAAGTTGTCATAGGAAGGCATATAGGATTGGAATAACACTGGAAGCACACAAATCTGTCTGGGAAAGTCAGATTGGAGAACTGAAATTTATCTCCATAAAATAGGTTGTGGATAGTCCATATAGCTTATTTTTGTGTGATTTTTGTTTGTTTGTTTGTTTGTTTGTCTTTTACCAATTTCAAGCACAGAAATACCCAAAACACTAGGTGCTGAGTGCTGACACTGTGGGTTAAGTTGCCTACAATGCCAGCATTCTATATAGACTGTTGAGCCCAGCCAGCTCCACTTCAGATCTGGCTACCTGCTAATATACCTGGGAAAGTAATAAACAGATCATGAACCAAGTACATGGGCTCCTGCCACCCACATGAGAGACTCGATGGAGCTTCTGGTCCCTGGCTTCAACCTGGCCCAGTTCTGTCCACCGCAGCCACTTGAGGAGTACACCAGAGAATAGAACATGAACTCTGTCTCTGCAACTCTCTCTCTCTCCAGAGCACTGCCTTTCAAATAGATCTTAAACAAATATACACAGGAGGCTTCTGTGATCCCAAACCTAATAGTAGCTCTTAGTCTTTGAAAAATGTCCCCAGTTGTAGGCAACTGCTTAGGTTGTACCCAGGCAAGCGGTACACTGCTAGGAGAAAAGCAAACAATAGCTACTAGGCATTCTGATCCTGGTTAATGCCAACTCTGTGTTAATTATCCCAGTATACCAGGATAGTTGCCTATTATATATCTAAAAGATCTGGGGATAGATACATGCCAGCAGGGACCACCCGTGCCATTACCACCACCACAAGCATGGGAGGAGGGCATGCATTGCTATGGGCTGGAGGACTAAAATGGGTCAGAATGGAGGCCACTGAGGGCTTGTTTGACTTATATAAAATGATTCCTGGGGGCTTCCATGGACCAAGTCACTGCACTTGCAGTTAATCAAAGGAGCTGAGATGGGAATCTGGAGGGCCTCCTTGGATCAGACCAAAGCACCCACCTGCAAACACTAGAGCCAGCGTTGGTAGCAGACAAGGTCAGATTAGGTCACAGCACACCCAGACCTGGAGGCAGGTCTGGCAGTGGCTCTTTGGGGTTGCTCTGACAAAACCACAAGAGACAAATCATGCCAGATTGAGCCACAGCATCCACCAGCACATACAAATGCCAGAAGCTGAGAACGAGTCAGACTGGACTGTGTCACAGCACCCACTGGCAAGAACCAGGACTGGGAACAGGTGGGTGTAAGCCACTCTAGGTTGGACTACAGCAGCTACCAGAACATGCCAGATCGGAGCTAGGGATAGGCTTGGTAGGGGAGCTTTGGAAACACACCTGCCAGGCTGCATCACCCACTAGTGCACAGGATAGTATGGGGCCAGGATGAGCCAGGCCACGGCAAGCACTGTTGAGTGTTGGGACTAGGGACAGGTCAGCCTTGGCTAGGTCATAGCACCCACTGGCATGTGCAAAACTGGGACTAGGGGATGAGGGCATAGTAGGAGTTCAAAGGGATCACTCCAACTAGACTGAAGCATGTGTGGGTGCTCGCAAAAATTGCGGCTGGAAGCCGGCTGGGTTGGGCTAATTACACACAAGAACTGAGTCTGGGAGCAGACTGAGTTGAAATAGGCTGCTACATCTGCTAGGACATGTGAAAATCAGGGATTAATGCAGGCAAGGTAGGGTCTTTGCAGGGTTTCAATGAATAGGCCACAGCAACCACTGGTACATGCCAAAGCCATGCCTGGGGATGGGCTAGGCTGAGCTAAGCTACAGCAGCCAGTGGTTTCTCATGAATGCCAGGACTGTGGTGAGACTGACCAGGCAGCTGCATTCACTGGTATATGCATTGGCTGTTGCAGGGGACAGACTGAGCCTTGATTTGTACCTACTAATATACATGAAAATAAGGTCTGGAGACATTCCAGGTAAAATTTCTTAGAGACTCCCAAACTAGACCACTGAGCTAGATCCCTAAACTCAAGGAAAATCAGAGACTTGTGGTCTGATCCTGGAGCATATATTACAGGACTGGACCAAATCAGTTGCTGACCCTCATGTAAAAACAGAGACCACACCCAGATGAACGTGAAAGACAAGACAGCCAGCTCACCAACCCAACAGAAGACTCTGAGTACCTCATCAAAAGATGGGAAGAAGGACAGTTCGAACAATACTCCCATCCAGGCGCTAAAATAAGCACCTAGGTCTAGGGGCACATTGAGGTAGACAAGGACAACCAATTGGACTTAGAATGTTGCACCAGAGTTGCAAAGCTGACAACTTCTCAGAAAAACCAAGACGCTCAGGGGACACCCTTGCAACATTCTTCCCCACACAAGGGCCTCAAAGGACTTGCATTGTCCCCAGGGTGCCAATGTAGTGTGACCACAAGGAGCAGCACACTTTCTCCTCCTTTCTCTCTTGCTCCCCATGAGCACAAGAATGAAAACTGTAACATTTATCCCAACCACCTTCCCCCAATTAGCCTCCCCATCTTACTGGAATCAGAAGTCCACGTGGGTCTATAACAACCTCACATTTGTAAGAAATACTAGAATTTAAACAGAATTTTTTTAAAGAAAAAAAGAGAGAAAAAAAATCTTAGCCTCCCTCTTTCTGACACAATTTTCTTCACCAGGAGATTAGAGGAGGTGGGTTTTAAAAAATGCTTCATTACCTTTTTATTATTCACAGATCATTTGAGAAAACCATAAAAGTTATCAATCTTCACACATAGAGAATCATCAGCAATTACTATCGAAGATAATGTCAACTTTTTCCCAAGATTAGGAAAAGATTTTAATGTTTACCTTGTTCTTATGGCATGAAAACATCAATACAATATTTAATAACTGTTTTCTTAGACACTTTTTTATTTAATGGTTTTTTTCTTTCTTCTATAGTCTTTGAGATAGCATATTTATAATCCACATAACACTCAAATGCTTAGTGCTGCACTAAACAAAGATTTTAACAAGCAAAAAGTAAAAAGGACCCCAAATCAACGGAATATTGTTGAGGTTTAAGCAAAATCAAATGGAAAGATGACCATTTCACTAATGCTCGGTAAATTTTAAAATAATCTCAGATCATTGAACTACAGTAGCATAATAATCTTAAACATTAGTTTGACAAAGATATGAAATAAATTTTGATCAAACTATATTTGTAACTTTCAAAGGTAACAAAATAGTTTACACACACACACACATAAAATAGCCTCTCCACATTTTATAATAAAGAAACCCCAAACCTCCAAGCGGAAAGGAAGTATCTGCCCAAATAAACAAGTAAAACATGTTAGACGTTGTACAATGTTTGAAATACAGGAGTCTAACTTTTTCTTTTAGGGTCTCTTAGCACATCTATTGCAGGTAGGGATGCAGACGTTTGAGTCTGGCTTTTCTTGACAAGCCAATCCGGATCGGTCGGCTGCACGTCAGAAGAGGTTTTACTCTTGAAATGCCATGGGAAAAACGACTATCTAGAAATACAAGATAATAAAAGTGAAATGAAGGAATAAATATTATCAATAATTTCATGCTTGCTCTTTACTTACTTCTAATCATGACACCAGAAATAGTTGCTAAGCACTTGCTGAGCAGTAACTCGTCATGTCAGGCATTGTTCGAAGCACTTTTACTGTATGATTTTGTTTATTCCTATCCCAAGTTTTAAAATACAGAAACCTAAGTACAGAAAAATTAAGACTCTTGTCCAACATAAATTAACAACTAAATAAAAACCAACATTCCGGTTAGACAGTCTGACTTAACATTAGCAAAAACTAAACAAATTTTAAAGCCTTCTTGATATAATAATTTAAAATGCCACTTCACTTTATTCTAATTGAAGCTTAAGAACTGTGACCTTTTGTTAATGACGGTTAAATTTCTAATATAAAGCCGAAACTGGGAGCATAGCCAGAACTCCAACCCAGGAGTTCCAACGGGAGATACAGACATGGCGAGCGGCATCTTGATCATTTGGCCAAACACCTGCCACTTCTGTGTTTGTCTTAAGTTCTAAATTTCGAGGTTGGCATCATGGTTAAGCCATCTTGTTTAGGATGCCACATTCCCTAGCTGAGTGCCTGAGTCCAAGGCTAGCCTCCACTTTGAGTCATGCATGCTCCAAATGCACATCCAGGAGGCGGGTGACGGCTCAGGTACTCAGGCCTTTGCCACCCACGTCAGAGACCGCAAGTTCCGGGTCCCTGCCTCAGCCGGCCACAGCTCCGCCATGCAGACAAATGAGAAAACCAGCAGACAGCCGGAAGAGCTCTTTTTGTTCTCTGCTTTTCGCATAAATAACAATGCATTTCTTACAAAAGTAATAAAATGCTACTTCTGCTAACCTATGTATATTTTCATCACAAGAAAAACAAAAGAGTACTACTATAAGGCCTTGGAAGACACTCCAGAAAATAATGGAAAATCTTACCTCCCCTGGAAGAACAATTCAGCTTTTCTTCGCTACATTCATCAGGAAAAAAGGCAGGTCCTTCAGATGCAATTCTTTCACAATCTGAAACTAAAAATTTAGTTGTTACAGCAAAAAGCAGTCTTCATATGAAAATAGCAACACTGCTACCAAATTATGTTTTTAGAAATGATGTCTTTCATTTAGCTCATAATATTTAGAGAAATGAAGTAGGACTGCATTAGAACCCAACTTAAAAAATTGTTTGATTCGGGGCCCAGCACGATAGCCTGGTGGCTAGGATGCTCGCCTCACATGCGCCAGGATCCCTTGTGGGCACTGGTTCTAGTCCTGGCAGTCTCGCTTCCCATCCAGCACCCTGCTTGTGACCTGGGAAGTCTAAGCCCAAAACCCTGGGACCCTGCACCTGCGTGGGAGGTTCCTAGCTCCTGGTTTCAGATCTGCTCAGCTCCGGCCATTGTGGTCACTTGGGGAGTGAACATGGACGGAAGATCTTCCTCTCTGTCTCTCCTCCTCTCTGTATAGCTGACTGCCCAATAAAAATAAATTAAATAATAACTTGATTTGGAGCTAGCAGATGGAAGATATCTCTCTCTCTCTGTAACTCAAGCAAAATATATATATATTTTAAAATAGCTTGATTACTTCAACTTCAGTACATTTTAACACTTGAATAGACTTTTATTAGAAAAAATACACATAGATAAACATGGTTTTAGGGGTTTGTGTTGTAGCACAGCAAACCAAGCCACCACCTGAGATGCCAGTATAGATACCAATCAGAAACCCAGCTGCACAAATTCTTCCCACCACCCCCCCGCAACACACACACACACACACACACACACACACACACACACACGTTAGAATAGCTAGGCAGAGAACAACAAGGAAAGCTTAGAACCAGACAGAAACGGTTAGCATGGACTCACACATGCCTTACTAGGAGGACACAAGGATTAGTTACTCCTCACTAGGGTATTGAAGATTTCTCTGCACACCCCTCCTAAAACTGTTCTGCACCTCAACTGTTGACATATGCCTTGTTAGAGTCATAACCCAGTTTAGACTACCCTAAAATCTGCCAAGTTCAGCAAAATTATGCTTCAACACTAGAAACTGCTAAATACTAAAATGAAAATAGACATGAGACAGCTGCACTAATTCTGATCCAGCTCCCTGCTACTGTGCCTAGAAAGGCAGTCCCAGATGGCTCAAGTGCCTGGACCCCTGTTGCCCTGTGGGAGACGAAAAGCAGCTCCAGGCTTCAGCCGTCGGAATCGCACAGCCCTGGCCATTGCAAAGTGGGGAATGAACCAGCAGACAGGATGTCTCACTCTATCTTTCACTCTCTTTAATTCAGCCTTTTAGATAAATTAAAATAAATCTCCAAATAACAAAATATGAACATGGCTTTATACTTTATCTTCTTCTTTGCCAAATACATATGTGTGTGTGTGTGTTTCTGTATGTATGCATTTGGGGTACACAAGAACTAAGCAGTAAAAGAAAAGTAAAGAACACTTTAAAAATGAATGTCACACCTTTCTCAGAAGTAGAGCAGAGGAATCCTTCCTCCAAGGAGCCAGGACAGGAATGCCCATCAGGGACTTCCTGTTCTGCCTCATCCAGTTCCGTTTTCCATTTAAATGAACTCTGGTGTCGTTTATGTACTTTAAGACCCGCTACGGCATCACAGAGCGAAGACGTGCACGTCTTGTTGATGGTCGCCATTTTCAAGTCTTCTGTCATATTTATCTGTATATCTGCATCATTACTTTCTCCAAAGTAACTTCCTTGTCCCCTGTTTGTTTCAACAGAGCTTAGAGCTTCATTTTCCCTACTAATTTCATGAAACATATGAAGTTCTTTAAGAACTAAATCAAATTTACTCTTCATGTCCAAATCCTTCGCCATCGTCAGCGATTCTGTAGATAAACAGGGAGCAGGCCAGTCCTGAAAGCATTCCTTGTTCCCCGAGCTGCAGTCAGTTTCAAACTGATGATTCCCAGACAATGTGGAGTTATTTTTTAGATGAAACTGATCTGAGTTAGTTAGGTCACTTTCTTCCAAAATACTTTCATATTCATTTGTGTCCATTGTATTATTTTGGACAGATTTGGTTTCCTCTATTTTTGCACCTTTTAATAAAAAGGTCTGCAGGGAAAGCATGCCATCATTTGGAAAGTTATATTTCTCCTCCTTTTCTACATGAATATCTTCATGAACTTGTAAACTACTTGCTAAATCTTGTGCTCTGACTTTTGCGTCCTCCTCTAAAACTAAATCATATTTTTTTCCCTCTTTTGCACTTAGCAATTTCCCAAAAATCAGCACCCGAGTTACAGTCGCATCATTGGTCTGATCAACACATGTTGTGCCATGGCTTGCTGGCACAACCCCTTGATTAACATTGTAAAAACCTTCCAGTGCCCACTTAGAATTGAACTTACTGATTTTTTTTGATTCCTGCTTTCCTTCTCTGTCTAACTCCTGGTTGTGCAAATTTATGTCATAATATTTTTCATTTACGCAACCCAGGTTGTTCCATATAAATTGTGAATCTGATTTTATACGTGCTTTAACTGTACTAGAACTATAGAGAGCCAAATTATCTACATTCACATTCTTATAACTAATTTCTTTTGTCAAAGAAATCACTTTGTTGTCATCAAAGTCCTCTAGAGAATTCTGTTCATACATTTCAAAACTTGGAAAACATGCATTTTTAGTTGTACTAAAAGAATTAGTGTTTTTTTCCATAGATCTTTCAACAATATTTTCAATTTTAAATAACTTTCTTTTCTTTATGACGAGTTTTGCATTATCTTCTAATAGTCTTGAATACGTTAAAATGTTAACTGGAGCTACTACATGCCTTTCCAATATCACATTTTTAAGATAATTCCAAAAAAGCCTGTATTTGAAAAGACATCCCTTTTCTAATTTAGAACCATTTTCAAGTTCTATTAAATAGTCAAAGTATTTAATCAAAGGCATATTGGTTTTCATTAATATCTTCAAAAATTCTGAAATGGTTTGTAAATATACGCTTAAAATGCGCAGCTGTCTCTTGCTTTTCGCATCCCTAGCTTTTAGATTTTGAAGAGCAGTTTGCTTTTTGCACTTCAAAATGCTAGACCAGGTCAAAATTCTATTATCTCTTTTAATTCTGGAAATATTTTCATGAAAATTAAGCATTTCTAGGATAATGCTTTCAAAAGCATTGCTTGACTGAAAGTATTTTCGTGTAATACAACATCTCCACTGTGCCATATTAGCAATGTCTCCTTTACCATTTAACCAAAGAGCTTTCAGTAAACTTCTCTGTGCACCCAGGATTCCTAGCATGAAAGGTTTTGATTGTTTTTCACAAACATTCATGACTTTTGTGTTGGAATACTCTCTCTTGCTTAAAAGATTCATTTTTAATAAGTTCTGTGAACTCAAGTTTTGCCCAGGTGTTTTCACTGGTTTTTTGCGGTTGTTTATAATCCCCCAATTTTTGCTATTTCTTTTCAAACTAGGTCTAATCAGACAGTCCCAGACTGGAGCTGCCTCCAACTTGGTAAGGAAGTAAGCACCTACGTGTGTTGGTGCTTCTTTCAGATTTAAATTTTCTAGTATTACACTGAAGTTCTTTTTAAAATCTCTTACGTCACATTTGATACTTCTGTGATTAGAGTAGTTTAAGCTGATCAAGTCTTTTTTTCCCTCAGAATTATTTTGGTTGCTGAGTGACTGGTGGTTACTTTCAGAAGACTCAGAGAAAATGTATTTCCTATCTACAACTTTTCTATCATCTTGTAACTTTTGCTTCTTAACATCAGGTCTATTCTGGGACCAGTAAATGTTTATGAAATCCCTAACATATGCCTCAAATTTGTCATTCTTTTTCTCTCCCATTTCCTTTAAATAGACAAAGGACATTTTGCTATTTAAAACGGTAGGAAAATTAGGGATTCTCATTGTGTTGCTATCTCTAAAATAGCTTGGTTTAGCAATTTCTGAGCTGGACTGGTTTGGGGATTTTGATATTCTTAGTATAGATGATGAAACGTTATTTCCTTTCATATTTGACGACATAGCACTGTCAATTCTACATTCGTCCCTGATTTCATAAAATGTTGATTTGGTTTTCTTTAAAAGGCTAACATCTAGAAATGGATTTTCTGTTAGTCTTAGATAACTCTGGCTTTTTAGTTTACTGTCTCCCACTTGGACTAATCGCTGTTTGGTCCCCTCATGCGAACGCGGTGCATGGTGGGCGGAGGCGCCAGGCAGAAGGTGGCCGACTTCCACTTGGGCTTTGCTCTTGAAGCGTTCTCCCACCACCTCCCGGTCACAGGGTTCCCTCTCGAACCTTCCTGAAGCCCCCAACCCACAGCTTGCACTTCCTGAGGGAAGAGCCTGCCCACCACTATTCTTCTGAATTTCCCGGTTTGTGCTTCCCTGAAGGCGTATCTGCTTCCCACTGACTGATTTCTCCTCACAAAAACCTGCGGAGTTGTCAAAAATGGCACTGGTTGATAAGAGGAGGCCCTTGAAAGGTCTGGGCGACAGCTCCCAGTTTTTCTCCACATCCGACAGGCGAGGCACACATGGCAGCCGCCACCCCGCCTCAGAGACACCCCCAGACTCCTCGAGACTGAGCCTCTTGCTGCTGGGTGGTTGAAAATGAGACTCTTCAAGAGGCGCTAAAGAAATGGCCTTTTGCCTGAGAGGGACAAGCAGCGGCTTGTGGTGAGTAAAAGCCATGACCGCGAGCGAGGGTGATCTGTTCGAAGTCCCAAGAAGTCCCAGTCAGGTTAGACTTTTATCCGGCGCGAGCCGGCTCCACCCAGGTTCTGCGGTGCCGCCCTGGCCACGCCCCGAACCCGCCCCTCTGTCCCGGCCTAAGCCCAAGACCCAGAGTTAATCCCGCCCCTCGCCCGCCCTCCCTCCACCCAGCCCCGGCCCCGCCCCCACTCCTCCCCGCCCACTGCCTCTCCCTCAGAGCCTGGAACTCTGGGAGCCGTTAGATTATCTATTTTTAGCGCCTCTTTTGAATGTCGTACTGTGGCCAGTCGGTCTTCTTCCTTTCGTACAATTATTGGAGGGAGTGGAGAGAGCAATCAGAATTTCCTTTTGTGAGTGGAAACGGCTTTACTTAAAAAATTCTAAGATTCTGTTTTCCTCAGACGTGGCTTCTCCACAGTTGTCACAGAGTCCAGCAAAAAAAAAAAAAAATCTAAAATTCTATTTCCCTCAGAAGCCGCTTCTCGACACTTGCGACTGACTTATTCAGTAAAATAGGGTAGTGGTGTCAGCGTGAGAACCATCTGTGTGTGAAAAAGTTTTTAACCATCACACGACTCCCAAAATCAGATTTCCAGTTACACATCTCCGCTTAACCTGTGGTTTTGGTTTTTGTTTTCTGAGTTTTGGTTTTGAGGGGGAAGGCGAGGCAGTGGTACTTACAGATCTGCATATCTCAGTTAAATGTGCTTTGAAATGAATATCTAGGTAACTGAAGATCAAAACATTAATTGTTGTATGTGCCTGGAAGTTGCCTTCCCAAATGTGGTGGGTGAATTTCTTAAAGATAAAAACAAGCTATTTGAACCACTTCATGTAGTGTAAGCACAACCAACGCAATTCTGGATCGTGCGTGATGACAGATGTTTAAATACCCTTTCTTCTTTCTCCTCTGCTTTGAACATCATTTACTCATTGTTTCTAGTCAATGCTGATATTTATCAATTCAATAATTACAAAGAGAAAGAACATTTATTATATAATTGATTAGGTTTTAATATTAATCTCTATATGAATAAACGTGTACTTACTGTTGAATAATTAAAATCCTCAGTTCCTTTGAGTAGTTATTTCAGAGTTGGTTTTTGTTTGTTTCTAGAATTTTCCTAAGAGCTGTAATGACGTGCAGGAGGCATCCTGACTTCAGAGCGCCTGCGAGCGTACGTGGCAATATATGACGAACATTGCTTTAGGCAGCCACATGTGTTGTAAACACCCCAAAACATATTATGATTCCAATTCTAGGCAGTCACTGTTGCGAGGGTCTGGAAAAATCTCCAGGGGGTATTTTCTCAGATGTGTTGAAAGCCATTCAGCAAGCATTCCGTCAACACCAGGTACATGGCAGCAATATCATCACACATCAGTGAGCAGTCCAAGTGCTACCTAGGTATATATTACGTTTCATTGCTCCTTCAATCCGTGGTCTCTTCACGAGCTACATTCTGCTGTAATGAAATGTGCACTTGTGACCAGCCCACGAGGACAGACTTGTATGCTGAAGTGGATATCATAGGTGCATTATGAAGTTTGTCATATTTTCAGTAGCAAACCTTTTTTAAAGATTAGTTTGTTTGTAAGGCAAAGAGATCCCGAGAGATCCAAAGATCTTCCGTTTGCTGGTTCGCTCCCCAGCGGCCACAGTCACTGGAGCTGGGCCAGTCCAACGCCAAGGGCCTGGAAGTCCATGACTCCCCCATGGTGGCAGGGGCCCAACCACTTGGGCCAACCTCCACAGCTTTCCCGGACATGTTAATAGGAGCCGGGTCTGAGGCGGCGCAGCCAGGATTCATATGGACTGCAGGCATCACAGGTGGGCAGCTCCGTTCTTTGTGACACAATGCTAGCCCCAGGAGAAAGCTTTTCATCTGCTAGTGTTATAATTTTTTATATAATTTGATGTTAACGATGTGTTCATCTTGATAATTTGCCTATGAGTTCAATATTTTAGATTCCTGTAATGATATTATTAACAACCATACACCATTTAATGACCAAAATTCAAGTAAAATCAAGAAATACTAAATCTGACTCAGCCACCATTTGAAAACTGTGTCTAAGACATCATTGAGTGCAAAGAAATGTTCGAATTTTTTTTTTCTTGTATCGTGAAAGCAACAGCAGCAATCATAAAAGCAGGGTTTTTTGTTATTCTTGTTTCAAGTTTACTTGTATAGAAATTCTGGTGGTCAATGCCATTTCAAATAATATCTACAAAAACTGAAACATGCTTCTTTCTGGACTTATCAGATGCTATTGTGATAATGGACCAGTTACATGCAAAAAAAAAAAAGAAAAAAGCAAGAAGCCTTATCTTAAATCATAACTAGAATGTAAACAATTTTTATTTAAATTTTACTTATGTTTAAAAGCCCATTTCAGGGCCTGATGCACTGGCCTAGTGGCTAAAGTACTCACTTGGAACCCACTGGAATCCCGTATGGGCGCCTGTTCTAATCCTGGCTGCCCTGCCTGTGGCCTGGGAAAGCAGTGAAGGACGGCCTAGGACCTTGGAATGCTGCACCTGTGCGGGGGACCTAGAAGAAGTTCCTGGCTCCTGGCTTCGGATTGGCACAGCTCTGGCTGTTGCGGTCACTTGGGGAGTGAATCATGAGATGAAAGATCTTCCTCTCTGTACATCTGACTTTGCAATAAAAAATAAATAAATAATTTTAAAAAAAAAAAGCCGATTTCAAATGTCAGCTTTTTCAGTTTCGTTTTCTGTAAACTTTTCAATGTGTTTTTACTAATATAAAGAGAACATGTTTCATGTTATTTCTAAAGAGATAACCAAACCCCATTTTCTCCCTCCCTTCCCCAATCCCTTCTCCTTTTTCTCTTCATTACTTTCTGCAATTACACTCTTTCAGTCACAGGCTAATGCATCCCTCACTTGCTTACCCTTTGAAAACACTCGCTTCTCTAAGCCATAGTAGACAATTTTAACAACAGTGTCTGTCCGGGTCTTTTTAGCTCAGCGTTTTACTGTACTTCAGGCTTGAAGGAATGAAAGAGCGGTCGAGTTCCTCAGATCCACTCCATGCTGAACATTTCAAGTTCCTATCAGAGTCAACTGGGAACTCCACTCCATGCTCTGGGATGCCTAGTGTCTCAGTCTTTCTTGTGCTCGGCCACATCCTTACAACTGGTAAGGTCCTACCTTAACTTTTTCAATTTCACTTTTACTTACAATTTGCCCTACATGACCTATCTTATTTTTTATGGCTGGCCCCTATATTTTCCTGTGTACCTGCAAAACTCCTACTCAGTCTTCATGGTTCCTACTCGAAAATGAGCTCCATATGACAGTCCCATCAGCCTCTGCTCTGTTTGGCCCTTGGCCAGAATGACTTAAATTGCTATCTGTGTTCCTGTGGTATTTTATTTCTACGTTCAGAACATTGAAAACATCTAGTTATGTGGAGTTGCTTCTATGTATCCTCGCTTAACCTGTTCATCATGACAAAGATTCACTCATTTTTATTCACCCAGTGCCTGCCACTAAGTAAGTATCTCAGTTAGTGAGAAAAAAAAATAAATTGACATTATATTTATATAGATTTCTAATCCAAATGGAATTTTTGGTGTCTTGGAAGCATTTTAAGTCCCTCTGCTTTGCATTTCACTTTAATTTTATGGGTTAAAATGGAGACTTGCTTTTGTAATCAGGTTAAAAACTGTAATAGTTATGCCGTCATTAGAACTAAAACATGATTTTGAATATTAGTGATTCTTTTACGTTTGTTTATTTTCATCTGCATGAAAGAGACAGAGACAGAGAGAGTTTCATTTGTTGGTTCACTGCCCCAGTTCCTACAATAGCTAGGACTAGAGCGGGCAAAAGCCACCCGCCTACAACTCCAGCGGATCTCCCGTAGGGACAGAAATCCAATCACCAGAGCATCATCTTCCTCAGGATGCACCAGCAGGAAGTTAGATTAGAAGAACCTGGCTACTGGTTTTGACCAGACCCATTCAGCCCAGCCCCAGCCGTGGTGGCCATTTGAGGAGCTAACTGTCCCATGGAAAATTCTGTGTGTGTGTGTGTCTTTCTCTTTGTTCCTTTCAAATAAATACATAAAATCTTTTAAAAAGGTGTAAAATTACAATTTTCTTAAACTTTTACCTTTCTGAGACAGATTTCATCTGAATCTGTAAAGTAGAAACTAGCTTCAAATGTATGAATTTAATCAAACACATTGTGAAAAACATTTAGGAGAGCGCTGGGCATGTAAGTCAGTGTTCATGACCATTTTTTGTTTTGCAATAGCTCTTAATATAAAATTTGTAGCGTGCTGAGCCGGCTCCTATGATTTAAGCTGGAGCTGACAGAATTTCTTGTCTTCCTGTGAGTAGTTCAGAGTGACCCATGATGGAAATATTTGCCTCCCTGAAACCAGCAAATACTGCCAGTGAGAGTTTTTGAAAGCCTTCCCAGCACAGTACGCCATCAAAGTGAATGTTTTAATGCTTCAGCTGCATTACCGTGTAAATCTGTTCTCAATACAGGATTGTAACTATTGTAAGCTAGTCGGTTTGTCAAAGTTATATGAGTAGATTAACTCTGTGTTTGAAGTCAGGACATTTTTTAAAACTATGATTACTTTCCTTTCATCTCATTTGATACACTTACAAGTGGAGAATACGAAATTTATCACCTACAGAAATAGTAGCTGAGTATTTTAAGTTTCCTATACTTGTATGGTTTCAGAATAGAAACAGATTCAGTTTAAGAAGAAAACAACACATCCAAACATGCTCCCCCTTGAATTATGTAAGGCAAAGTGTAGCTGCTGTTACAGGAGGGCTGGTGTCCTGGGGTTGATGACAAGTTACTGTCCTTCTCTATTTATATTTTCTATTGAATGGAAGAGAGGAATGGCGAGAAGGAGGTGGGGCGGGGGGCAAACAAGCACAGATTCTGGAAGCCAAACTGCCTGGATTTGATTCCTACTTCCACT